GGTGGGCGGAGAGTCAGATGGGGGGGTTGGGGGGGCTCACTGGGCTGTGGGGGGACGAAACGGAACCAGGGACATCACCGGGGCCAGGCCCCGCCTGTGAGACCCCACGGCCTTCCCTCCTGAGGTCTGTGGCCCTGGGGGGCTGCCCTCGCCCACCAGCGTGTCCCTGGCCTGACTGTACTGCAGGTTTCGTCTTAGCGCCCCTTCCCTGAGCATGGTCCAGGCCCAGGACGGGGTTCAGTGTGGTCTGGGCCACCCCTCCCCCTCTCGCCCTCCTGGTGGGCTCTGTGGCAACCCCAGCGCTGGCACCACGTCTCCAGCCCCTGGGGCAGGAAGGGCTCGGCGCTCTTTCCAAGGGTCTCCTCGCTTCCTGAGGCTGCGGGCCGGCCCTGGCTCAGCCCGTCTCTGCTGCGGGGCAAAGGCCCGACTTTTGTATCCAGGGCTGGGGCTGGGAACGGGGGGCCCAGAGAGACCCACGCTCCTGCCCACCTATGTCCCGCATGTGGGGGCGCAGGCTGACAAGCTACAGAACAGCCTGGAGCTGAGGAAAACCGGCCCAGCTGTGGGGTGTGCCCCTTCCCTGTCTGCAGCGCCTGGTCCTTGGCTGGGGGCCCCGGGAAGGGTGAGGAGGCGGCGGCCGCACGCGGGCCGGGTGCAGGCCGCTGCTGTCTTGGAGAGGGAGCAAGTCTAACATCCTCCAGGGCCGCTATTTCCCATGCAGTGCGCACGCTCAATTTAAAAGGCCCCTGTGTTCCAGCAAGCGAGCGAGCGGGCTTTTGTTTCTAATGCATACTGCGAAAGGAAAAGAAACCACAGTTATCTGCCTGCCCAGGGTTGGGCATTAGAATTCTTTAACCCTAGAGCTCAGCCTTTCTCTCAGGATGGGCCCCAGTGGCCACTCCCTGCGGGGCCACAGGAGGGCGAGCAGTGCTGCTGGGCCAACGCTGCCCAGGTCTTTGGCTTTGGGAGCCCCAGACATTGGCCCGGGCGGAGGCTCTGATGCGGGGCAAAGGCCCACAGTGCGAGGGTCCAGAGGACAGACGGAGCCTCTCTGGGTCTTTTTGGCAGAATGAGGGAGGGAGGAAGGAGGCGGTAGGAATGTGGGGACAGGTCTGGGTGATCCTCGGTTCCTCACAGCAGGGTCCCCGACAGGCTGCATGCAGTGGCAGGTGCTCAGAGCCGGGCAGGGGACACGGACCACCATCCTCCCCAACTCCCTCCCCCTCCCCCACTTGTCAGCTCCTGAAACTGCAGGGCAGGGCCCACAGGGAGGGGCCTGGCTGCCAGGGAGCCTGCGCCCCAGCTCTTTAACACCCCCCGCCCCTCCGGGCAGCTCCCTCCTTGGGGAGTGCGAGGGGTACATGCACTTAGCCAGGTCAGGAAGGAAAGGTGACACACACCAAATTCAATAACCAACAGAGACAGATTCTGGCCACCCCGCTCCCGCCAGGCCGTCCCACTCCCGCGTGCAGTCTCTTCGCCTGAACCCAACACGCTTCCTGGGCAGGAGAGAGAGGGGCTCCCGCTGCGTCAGTCTCTCTCGGCTCCCTCTGTGGCCGCCTCCGGGACCGTGGACGGAGGGCACGGGAGACGAGCCTCGGCCTCTTGCCCCCCGCGCTGGGGCTGCAACTGTGGGGTGCTCCTCCCCAGGCCGAGGCCCGGCCCTGGGCCACCACAGTCCTCCCTCTCCTCGGGCAGGTTAACAATTGCTGCTGTTTCTGAACTCGCCGTTCTCGGTAATCTGCAATTTGGTGGGGTTGGTGGGGGAGATGCCGTTACGGGCCTGCATGCTGTACCTCTCTTTCAGCTGTGTCAGGGCGCTCATGAGGCGGGCGTTGGCGGCGTCCAGGGAGGCGATGCGCTTCTCCTGCGGACAGAGGGCATGAGGTGGGGTCACGGAGGGGAAGCATCTCCCTGGGGCTGTGTGCGCTGGAGGAAGGCTGGGGGGAGGAATGTGGCCTGGAGGAGAGGCCAGGGGAGCAGTGGGCGAGTGGGGCAGGGTGGCCTCGCCCGTCATGGGCCACGACCTCCTGGAGTCTGCCTTTCTAACGCCAACCACATCGCCTGCCTCTCAACCTCAACAGCAGCTCTAGTGTCATCCATCAGCCACCCGAGGCCCGGAGGGCAGGTGGCCTGTGCCTATGCGTGACATGCAGCGCTCACAGCTCCTGGTCCTGTGTGCAGTTTACAGTCTGCAAGGATTGGCCCTATTTCTGGGCGCTTGAGAGGAAAAGGGAACAGGCCTGGGGGAGGGAGGCCAAAAGCCTCTAACATGTCTCTCCTCTCAATGCAGTTGGAAAGCCACAGCTCTGAACGGAGCCCCTCCCACTCCCTGTGCCACCTCCAGACTTCCCCAGTCGCCTCCCAATAGATTCACTCTTTGGTTAGCACCCCTAGTGAAACGCGATACCTACCATGTTGCCCCAGTGGGGGAGGAGTTGCCCTACCCCTTTCACAACCTGTCCTAGTGAGCTGTGGTCCACTGAGACCCTCAAGTCTGACTTCCCAGGGCAAGGATCTGTTCTCCTATTTCTCTGCAGCTTTTGCAGTGGGGTATGTATGAGTAAGGATACAGAGAAGCCAAAGTCACCCCCCTTATCCTAGGTCCATTACCACCTGTGGCCGACCAAAGGGCCAGAGCCCCCCACCTGGGCATCGATGATCTTCTGTTTGGAGTCTACAGCTGCTTGCATCTCTGCGTGGTCCTTCTTCAGCTCCTCCTCCACTGACATCAACCTGCGGCCAGAGGTAAGGACAGTCGGCACGTGAGGGAGCAGGTGAGGAGGTGGGTGTGGGCCTGTGGCCGAGGAGACATGTGCCTGGGACAGAGGCCCTCGAGCTGGACCCTGGCCACAACGCGGGCTGGACCTACTCCTTCCTTACACTGTCCCCCAATTCCAGTTCCAATTCCCCAGGAGCTCCGGGGGCTGCCCCTTTCCTGATGTTCTTCCAGGGGTTGGGCGTGGGTGCTCGGTCCTCCCCATCCTCCAGGGCCTGGCCGGTGTTATAAGGTCGTGGGAACGTGGTCTGGGTGGGGAGACGGAGACCCTGGAGGACTCCAGAGCTCTCTCCTCCCTCTGCACTCATGGGGCTGTGCCGGGCACGCATGGCAGCGAGATGAATCAAGTGTAGTCCTTCCCCTCAAGGCACTCATAAGGCCGCAGGGACAAGGACAGACAGTAGCCACGCCCTGAACGGGCAGCTCAGGGCCATGGGACAGAGCGGGAAGGGGGTGCACCCACGGAACTGGACATCTGAAGGACAAGGTCTGCGGGTGAGAAACAAGCAGAGAAGACGGGAGGAATGCCATCTGCAGAGGCTCAGAGCTAAGGCAGATGTGGGTCTGTCACCAGCTGCTCCTTTCCTGAGGCCCTTCCTGGCTTCGTCCTGCTGGTCTCTCCCACAACTGCCAATCACTCCCCGTCACTCCTACCTCCCAACTCGCTTCCTTTGGCTTCTGAAGCCCACACTCTCTGGGTCTCCCTGCCAGCTCCCAGGGCACTGCTGGCAGATGCCATGTCCTGGCTGCCCCTAGGATGTCAGGGCTCTGCTTCCTCTCTGTTCTTCTCGTTCTACAAACACTCCTCAGATGAGCTCATACACTCCCACGGCTTCCTCCCCAGCCCAGCAGCAGCTCCCGTCCCCTAGGTGAGCACTCAGCTCACGCACAGTAGGTGCACAGGGAGGTCAACGGAGCTGGGTAGGTACCACACAGGGCTGTCATGAGAAGTCAATGGGTCGGGAGCACTAGTCAGGAGAAAGGAGTGTGGGGCCACGTGGGGGGTTCCTGTCACAGGAAGGCAGTCATGGAACAAAGCCTACCAGAGCTGGTGGCGGGAGGCGGAAGGAAGACA